TTATGGCTCTCATAAAATATTCACACCACTGGCTTCTTAGACAGAAGCTTCTCTCGAGTATGATTAATCATATGTTATTATTTAAAGTTCCTATAGAGTGGAGTTTATGTTTCAGCACCACTCACAGATTAGATTATAGAAAATTAGTTTCAGATGAACTATTTGGTTCAGGTAGATTAATCCACTCTGATGACACTTATGGCCCAATTGAACTCTTTCTTCAAACCAACCGGCCATGTCCCTGTGGTTATCCAGAAGGCTGTAAAAAACAGGGGCAGGCGGGACTTTCCTTCCACCTGGCAGTCATTGATCTGTAAGCACTCTTCTCTTATCTTTATCTAAGACAGATATTTATCCTGCTATTTAGCATAACTAAAACATAGGTACTAATCTAAAGCTCCTGCCCAGGGAGCAGTCATGTGATGGCAGCAGATTCCCAGCATGCAGAACAGCCTTATTTCAGTAACACATTAAGCTTACGAGGAGGAAGAAAAGCGTGAAGTATGTAGTGACATCTCCATCGGAGATGTCCACTCCCATCTCCATTTGGAGGAGGGAACTCTTCCGCGCTGCTCTGTGCTGAAGGCACTGCCAAAGAGCGTGCGCAGGCAATCAGCAAGTCTTCCCACTCACAGGAAATGCCAAGGAAAACACGGTGTCCTTTGGCAGTCGGTTGTCTCCAGCAGGGATGGGAGAGCTGCTGCATATTCACTGTGTAAAGGGGGACCACTCCACCTTTGTTTCAAACAAGGGGTTCGAGCCCAGGGCAAGAACAACCGGCCACTTTAAACCAGAACCAGTTAACCTCTTAGATTATTAGAAATGATCAGGACTATGTTGGGAAGCGCAAGACACAACTATGTGAAGGCAGTCGTCCTGTCAAACTGGGAGTCAGTGTGTGCTCCAAGGAAAAGGCCACTAGTTTTCCAGATCAGCTTACCTCTTACAATAATGTTGGTGGACTTTTTCGCAGGATTTCCCACATTGTTATTGGCGATGCAACTGTATGTGCCAGCGTCTTCTGATGTGATGGCAGGTATCGTTAAAGTCCCACCGTTCAGGACTGTCTTCTCAGGCAGGACGCCAATGGACCTCACCCACGTCAGACTAGGGCCTGGCTCCCCTCCTGTCGTCACACACACTAAGGTGATCGCTTCCCCAGGGTTCACCACTATCGGGTCATCCACAAGAAGCTTAATTGAAGGTGATGCTGCAAAATACAAGTTGAAGAGAAAGCTGTAGTGGGACTGTCTCAGGTGTTGCTCAGTCCCTGCATGCACACTCAAGCCAACTGAGACCAGCAAAGGCATTTCAGCTACAGCACTCCCCGCACGACCGAGTATCCTCTGGAAAGGGTGCTCCCCGCCCTAATGGTACCCCGACCCCACGTTTCTCACCCTGCTCAGTCGTCATCTTTTCCCTTGCTGTCAAACTGCGGGTGAGGATTTACATTTGGACAACCCTGCGGCTATGCTTGTGAAGTAATGTATAATTTATGGGACTGGTGCCAGCACACTGGATTTTAAACCTTGGGAAAAAGACATTAGCAAAAATCTTATTATTTGGCACAGAAAGTATGTTGCTCTCTTGAAGTCAGATCCTACCCGTTGAAAATCAGCCCTCTTAATCCACCAGCCTCCTTGATGAACTCCCTGGGACTTAGCAGAAAACTGAGATGAATTGGTAGAATTTGAGCTGGGTCTGTTGAATCAAAAAGAGCTGCCTCCCCTGGCACAACACCTCTTTGCACACTAGGAAACAGAAGAGTCCAGCACAGGGGCTTTTTTACTGCGTGGGCTGTGCAACCTGCAGCTCCCAGCCTCCTGCAGATAGCGCGGCCTCAGCTCCATTTCAGGAAAGACAAGAGAGGAGCTGACGCAGACGTGACTACATCCTAATCCCCATTACAACAATCAGGGTGACCACCGTGATAAAGAAGGCTGAGTGACCTGCTGAA